GTTCTTGGAGAAAAAATAAACATTCTGTGTTTATTCTGGGTATTGGCACTTAAGGCACCGTAGACATGTTACACAGTTACCAGTAAAATCAGCATGAGACTATTCTTTTATCAGAAGCATGACTGCATTTGCAGCCATGAAACCCCAAAGTTATCATTTATTTAAATAAATAAACACACAGATTCCTAAAGGTCTTCAAATAAATACCAAACATTGTCAGTGTGTTAGACGTTTGTCAGAAAAGACTCTACATTCTTCACGTACACACACGATGTTACATTTTTGAGCAAGGTTGGAAGCAAACATCCATCATATACCCCCGTCCCACCTCAAACCACCCCCTCATCACTTCACAGACCGGCCCCGGCGCTGCTGCTCGCTCCGCTTTGTTGTTTGTCCCTACAGGGCTGATTGAGCAGCGCGTGACCGACGGCCCGCGGGGGTGTTGTCCAATCAGCGGTCTGCCCCGCGCCCAATGGGTGAGTCCTCTCTGCTATTGGCTGAGGCGAGTGTGGGAAAGAATGCAGAGAGGGTTTCACACGAACTGGGAGCACGCGAACGGTCTATAAGTAGCGCCACGGCGTGTGTCAGCGGCAGAAGCGGTAAGACAGCTCGTACGTCCCAACGCACGTTCCACTACTCGCATGACAGCTCAGCGATAGCAGGCGACATAACGCAAACTGCTCGGTGGGACCCGACTGTCAGGCGGCTCATATCTTTTGAAGCATCTCCAGACATTTTTTTCAACGTTACTTTTCCCGCGACTCCAAACAGGATTTACTTCTTTTCGCGTTTCCCTGGTTTGAACAATAATGCCAGCTGACACTATGGAAAAGCAGACGGCATCCCCTATTGCCGGTGCCCCTGCAAGCGGATCACACACACCGGACAAACCGAAAAACGCCAGCGAGCACAGAAAAGTAAGGGTTTTAATTTTCACACATTGTGTCTTCTTAAGTGAGTAAGGTTTGAAATTGCTCAGTGTGTAATTCTGTTTGTTATATTCAGTTTGAAAGGTGACATTTCTGATAGATGAGCAAGATATTTATGTAGAAATGCTGATTCTTTGCAGTCATCTAAACCCATCATGGAAAAACGCCGGAGAGCGAGAATCAACGAAAGCCTCGGGCAGCTCAAGACGCTCATTCTGGACGCACTTAAAAAAGATGTAAGTGGAGACGAATGTTTATGTCATTTCCAGGATTTTATCCTTCGCTGATTATTATGTCGTTGTAAATCTGCCTTGAGTACACATTTAACTTTTCATATCATCTCCCACAGAGCTCCAGACACTCCAAGTTGGAAAAAGCAGACATCCTGGAAATGACAGTGAAGCACCTGAGAAACCTGCAGCGCGTACAGATGAGCGGTAAGTTTATTTTACCATGTAGTTACGCGTGCCAAAAACATTATGGTGTCTCTGTGAAGCTGCTGAACGAGTCCCAATGCGCACTAATCTCGTCATTCTCCTCCACCCCCCGCCCCCAGCAGCGCTCTCAGCAGATGCCACCGTCCTGAGCAAATACAGAGCCGGATTCAACGAGTGCATGAACGAGGTTACCCGTTTCCTGTCCACCTCAGAGGGAGTCAACACGGAAGTGAGGTCGAGGCTCCTCAACCACCTGTCCAGCTGCATGAGCCAGATGATGTCCATGAACTACTCGCAGCAGGCCCCGTCCCAGCAGACGCACCTGTCCCAGCCTCTCCATGTGCAGCTCCCACCCAGTCTGCCCATCAGCGGTACCGCCATGGGCTCTAAACTTAGTCCTGCTGAGGCCGTCTCCCCTAAGGTGTTTGGTGGGTTCCAGCTGGTGCCTGCAACCGATGGACAGTTCGCCTTTTTGATCCCTAACCCGGCCTTTGCCTCCTCCACGGCCCCTGTCATCCCTCTTTACGCAAACGCAGGAGTGCCTGTTGCAGTTAACACCAGTCCGGTGCACAGCAGCTCAGCACCGACTGCAGCATCACCAGTCCATGGCATGACATCCTTCTCTGGATGGTCCCAGGCGATAGTCAGCACTGGCTGGGAGAGCAACGAGCCTGTCTGGAGGCCCTGGTAGTTTAGGGGACAAGAGACTCAAGTGAAGCCAGTTTCCATTACTTTTCCAGTTTAGACATTTAACTGACTGCAGCTGCTGCGGGGATTGAACTTGTGACGTTTCCACTACAGTGCAACAACTCCAACCCCTTAATAATCCCAGTAGTTCGCTTTGTTTCGTTTTATGGAACAGGGGTTGCGTAAAAAGTGGCGCATAGCTTTCTAAATAATTTATTGTCTGGCTCCAACATTTGGATGTCAGTGATAAACATACTGTACATGCAGAAGATTTATAGGATTGTTTTTGGTATGAAGTACTTTTTATGAAAAGGTTTTAGTTTTGTACAGAGTTGTATTGGATTGTTATACCAAAGCTGTGTTTTATATTCTTTGTTGTTTTGTGTTGAAAACAAAAACTTAATTTGGGTGATGACCCATTGTTTTAATAAACTACTTTTCACAAACACATTTCCTGTCTGCAGGCTGTTTTACTATCCATATTACAATGTTATACTTTACTGAGCAATAGAGTGGGTTCTTGTATAGTGTTTAGGCCGTGCGTAAAAGTTACATTTCATGCGTAAAAGTCACAGTGATAAACTGATGTTATGTTGGGAATATAACACACTCAGTGCGATTCCAAAACAAATCGATTACTATCCCATATGAACTCCAATATCAGTTAAACTGCTAAGTTTAGAGCGGTCACCTTTGTCATCAGTTTGGCGAGAGCTCTGCATCTGGCTCACAGGAGGAACAATGGGGCTGTATTTTTATATTGCTATAAAGGTAATTAAAAGTTTGAAAGGGCTCTCATCTCGCATGCAGCGGGAGCTTTAAGAAGTCCTAGACCCTATTCATGAGCCTGGGAAATGCGCTCAGGGGTTAATGTCACTAACAGATTGCCTCAGTGAAAGGGGAATATGGAAGGATCCCCGCTTCCTTTTGTGTATCAATTGTTCAATTCCACAGTGGGCCTACACCTCAATAAAGGAGAAAACGAGGGAGTTTCATTAAACTGGTTTGATGCGGGGAAATCTATCTGGGTACATAAATAAATCTACTGCAGGCTCTGAAACTTGATTATAACTTATTCTCCAAAACCACATGTTGCTCCTGGCACACAGACTCACTAACTCACTCATCTGAACTGACCTGATACTTATACACAATATGTGGCCTACATTTGGTCAGCTGTTTTTTTCTCACAGCTCCACACACATTTTTGTATAATAAAGGCTGCCCCTTCTTTACCTTCCCCTTGCCTCCATTTGTCCCTGGTTGTAAACTTATGTTCCTATGGAACAGAGGGCAGCGTTTCTGCGTAAGGCGGCGTGGCGCTAGCCGTGTGTCAGCCACTTGCCATCAGTGGGCCCCTTTGCTTGGGCTTAGGTTACAGCCTGGTGCCCGCCGGTCAAACAGCCTCAACCTCTAATGCGTGCCGTAGGTGCAGGCACAGACCACAAATAAGAAAAGTGCTTTCTGTCTTTGTGGTTTCTTTCAGTTGAGAATATTTAGGTTACAGAATCGGGTCTTCATTAAAACGTAAAAAATATGGCTGGTAGCCTACAGTGTCTGTATTTAAGCAAGATGTGTGAGTGGGAGCACATTGGAAATACATTTAAATATGTCAAGGTACATGCACCGTTTGAACAACAAAGACAACAAGTAAAGCCCCAGGCACACGTTTTTACTGTAAATTATGTTGTTTGTCATAGGTGAGTTTTGCATCGATAAATTGTGCAACTGCTGATATTCATCTTTCTTTAGCAGTTGGCCTGTCTTGGTAATTCGTGTAGTTGCGTTCTCACTTTAACCCTGCCGGGTGGCAGTGCCCCGCAGATGACACCGTTCGGTAAATACATACTGAAAACCCCACTGTCGGTGACATTTATGCAAACTTCCTTCTGCGAGGAGGCATACTGAAACACCAGTTGGCAGTGTGTGTGGGTTCTGCGGTTGTTCCTACTGCTTTCGTGTCTGAGTTAATGGTTCAGAGCTGCATTTGTGGAGCTGAGGTCGTGAGAACCGAGCGAACTAGTCTGCCTGCGGCCGGGCACAGCGCCAGTCAGTAAATCCCCGCTGGCAGGACGGGTCGTGCAGCCGCTCTGCGGAGGTGAGGAGGCGAACAAACACACGCGTGAGGGACTCGGATCGAGCACTATACACTCCCAAGAGGAGTTGACCGAGTCCATTGTAGTTTTATATGGCAACATGTTAGCAAATCAGTTTTGCTGCCTCTGCACTGCGGTCTGCCTGTGTTAAGAAATATGAAGAAATCTTCATTCTGTTCTGCACTGAAGAAATCAAATAAGCAAGCATTATGTTAGATAGAAAAGAAATAAAAGAAGACATTTAAAGAAACAGCTGTAGCAAGTAAAATCTAAGAGAAACGTAATAACAAAGGCTACTAGACCACAATGGTGTAGATGCATAGCATGACATCTGACACTTTGCACATCTGTAGATGAAAGCAGTGGGTATTCAGATGTGGGCAAGTGAAACCCTCAGCTCTAGTGGATGAGGTGCAGCTCCAACAATATAGGACAGAAATTTGGATTATCAGCAGTATGCAAACGAACCAGGCGGGAATCCTCTTTTGGTGATGAAAAGGATTCCTATGGAGGACTGAATGTCCCTCAGGGACCTGCGCCATCGCGTCCCTTGGGAGAAGTCGCTATTGAAGAGGTTAGGGGTCGTTGGAGGAGCCACAGATTATCATTCTAATTGGGGACTGAATGGAGAAACGCGCGCACAGAGATGCCGCCAAAACTTATAACATCACTTCTCCCTCCCAATTCACAGCTGCTGTTGCTGCATTAGGCCTAGTTCAAACACCACCTAGTTCTTCTATGCATTTTTTTAAAAGCCAGTTACAGTGAGTGTTGCATCTTTCAGGCATGACTGCAGCACTCCAAGGACTTATTATCTCACTCATACAAGTGGGGAAATCAGTTAATGAATGTGAACACATAAATACACATATGCCTGTGTCTCTTTTCCCCTGCCAGACTTGAATTCGTCTTGCAGGAGTTAGCCAACATTTGTTGTCATTTTCACTTGTCAGGTTCATTTGACCCAGTTCTTATATGTAACAGCTTAAAAGTATTTCAGTTGATTAAAAATAGAAACATGGGAATAAAAGGTGCAGATTGACAAGAAAATGTTTTCTGGATGATCCTTATAGAATCCTTAATGTTTTCACTGCAACCAGTAAGGTGAATTTCCTGGTTAGTTCCTCCTCGGTGCTTGAACACACCTGAAATACTGTAAATGTTCTTCATCCTTTAGTCACAGGTTCTGGTGAGGGGAAGGGTGGGTCTGGAGCAGACACTGGCATGAAGCATGTGGTGTATGTGCCAGTCTGTACTGGACAAGCCTTATGCACCTGTTTTGTTGAGAATGAGTGAGGGTGATAGGGAGAGATGAGAGGAGAGATGAGGAGACGCACAGAAAGGCTCAGAGGGGTGATGACATGATATAAAGAAGGTGATGAAAGTCAGAAAAGTACAAAATGGTTCCCTCAAGTGTGTGATCCATCCAACAGTGACATATCCACAGGTGTTTGGTTTGAAGGGATTTGAGGGACATGATACAAAACAGCAAAACTGCAGATTAAGCAGACAGACTTACTTTCAATGTCACCACATTTGACTCCTTGAAAACCTCTTCCTCTTTTCATGCTTTACTCACCTTCCTCCTCTCACTGCTGTCTTTTCTGGCTCTCTTCAAGCTTCCATATCGGTATTTATAGCAGAGGACCACTTATCCCTGGGACTGAGGTGTCGGGTGGGTGTAGATAGAGGAGGTGAGGCAGGCTGGGCAGATGCAACGGGATGCGTCAAACCTGATCAAATATCACAGGGTCCGGGTGCTGTATGGGCTCTGTTGATCTTCACTGCTTGTCTACAGAATGCATTTCTGAGGCCAGGTTTGGCTTTTCAGCAGCTTCTCCAGTTTCAAGGCACGAGGCTTGTGGCTTTTAGCAACTGGTGCAGATTCTTCAAGGGAAAGTAACGGATCCTGCTGACAGGGCTAGAGGTCATCCTGTACACTGCTGCTGTCGGTGGCCTAGAAGGAGTCCTGCATTTAAATCTTGACACATTTTATTTATGCATTTATTTATTGAGGGGTCATCCCCGTCTTTCCCATGTAGCTTTGGCAGCTGTTGCTTTATTTTAGCACTGGTTCCAAGTTCAGCAGCTTAAGTCTCAGAGGTGTGCAGTAGGGGTGTTGCGATATGCCAGTAGCGACCATAACCATGATATTTTAAAATAAAATATTATTATTGTGTTAATAATACACATGTGATAACATCGTAAACAATCCAGAGCCAGTAATTTTCAGTGCTTTGTACGGTTATAGTTACAAACTCTTTCTCAACCTCCCTACACTGAGATTTTGAGTGTAATTTGTTTCTCCAAAAAGAGCCAGTATACACAATAAACTTAAAAATGAATTCTCCCTACACTGAGATTTTGAGTGTAATTTGTTTGTCCAAAAAGAGCCAGTATACACAACAAACTTAAAAATGAATTTGACTAATAGCATTATTTTGTTTTTTCGAATTTTCTGTAGGTATCGTGATAATATCATTATTGCCTTTTTTTTTTTTGGCCTCAATAATCCTATAGTGAAAATCTGATATCATGACAGCCCCAGTGTGTAATTAATTAATTGTTTCCTAATGTTGCAGATGTGAAAATGAAAAAGTTTAGAGATATAATGGCACAGCTTGAATTAGGAGAGAATACAAACAATTTCCCCACAAATAGCTATAAGAAAACATGGTTCTAAAATGTCTATAAAATACAGTAACTGACTTGATTTAACACAGCTTAGTGTATTAAAGAAAAAAGATAAAGAAATAGTTATTATTGTTAAAGGTGATTGGGAAAGTACTGTGTTTTAAACATATAGTATATATATTAACATTTTAAAGTAGGACATACAGCATATGACAAATATGTAATATATAAATATTCAGCTTATTATGGATAAAACAAATTACTTAGTGTAGAACAAAATACAATGAGCCCTTTTAAGTCTTGTAGAAGTAATCTGTTGGTAATTGGTCCAGTGGTGACGCAAGTAAAAGCATCTGAAATGACAAGATTTTACAAGATACATAATGTATTATTAGCTATTTTAATCAGCAAATATCATTTTACCATATCATTTCACTCTATATCACCACAAAGTGTATAAATCCTCCCAGGACACACTCCAGGATGAGGCACATGTGACTCACCACATGCCCAGACTTGTCCCCAGTTTGACACCTGAGATCATCATGGACAGTGATCTGACTCATGTCTTTTCAAGATGAGGCCTTCTTGGTCTGTTGTGTGTATGTGTGTGTGCGTGCGTGTGTGTGTTACATCCACTTCCTCTGCATCATTTTGTGTGTGTGGTGAGGGAAAACAGTGTATTTAAGTGTAAACATTTGCATTG